GCAGGAGGGAAGGCCCTCTATGAGGTGGATTGATTCAGTGACTGGGATAATCAGGATGGGAGTGTCAGAGACAGTGCGATTGGCACAGAACAGAGCAGAGTTTAGGGCTGCTGTACATAGGGTTGCTATGAGTCGCAAGTGCCTCGCTGGCACATAACAACAACAGCAAGTGTGGATTATGGGCTTGATCCTCAAACTTTTTGATGAGCAGTTGATCACTCAACTACTTTCCTATTCAGACATCTTAGGGACTTTTGAAGGAATACAGAATAGACTGGGTCTCATCTCTTTTTCATTATTTGTAGTTAATCTTTTAATCTTTGAGTGAAACGGTTACTTTTGAAGTGTTATCAGGCTTCTGCATTATTATATATAGTAGCACCATATCTAAAAATCCCTCATTTTTACTCAGTACTTATAGTTTCTCATGCAAAATGATATTCCATTTTTTAAAATTTCTGCTTATGAGTTATCATAAGAAAAAGAAAACAAAGTATATATGAATTAGTGTATGTATTCTTTACCTCCATTTTCAGTATTATTTTTATACTTTTTAATGCCATAAACTATTTAAAATGATAACTAGTATTTTAGTTGTATATTACTGGTTTTATCAGAGTAGATTTTTGAACTCAGTTTTCTCTCAAAACTGTTGAAGAATAAGCACATGTGGAATATAGACTACTATACCTAGCATTTGAAAATTTAGTTTCTGCTCTGCCTGGTCCTCCTCCTAACCATCTTTATGATGACCTGGAAGAAGTCAGTTAGCCATTGTAAGCATCATCTTTAAAATGCTAATTTTTGCTAGATAAGTAAGGCTTCTTCTAGTTTTGTGATTCTAATAAGTTATTTTATTTGTGATTGTGTTGTTTTTGTTTTATTATCTAGCATTGAATGAATATTGAATATCACATTAGCCATGAGTATTTAATATTTTGAAATATGAAACAAAAACCTAATTTTTTTTCTATTGTTGTCTTCAATGAAATTTTAAATCATAGAAGTGCATGTACAGTACTTTTAAAGAAATAAAACATTTGTTAATTTCATATTACCTAATGTAGAATCTATTTTAGAACCAACTACATCATATATATTTTTTATCATAATTTTTTCAACTCTGACTTAATGTGCTGTACATTATAGTCATGTTTACTTTCTGAAATAGCAAAATTTTTAATTCTGTAGCACACTCCAATCTCTTGATCAAAATTGTCTTTGACAGACTTTGATTCAAAGTTTCTATTCTTCCTTTGACTTTAGGTTTGATATTCGCTTGATGAAAGAAGGCCGCATGAAAGGACAAGCTTTTATTGGGCTTCCAAATGAAAAGGCAGCAGCCAAAGCGTTAAAGGAAGCGAATGGATATGTTCTTTTGGGAAAACCAATGGTGGTTGTATCCTTTAAAACAGTCTGTTCCAAGAGTCTATTTTCAGGAGAAAATATAACTGAAATGAATTTATCATTTAAAAATTTGAACAATGGCATTCTAATTTGAGATTTTTCAATTACATTTATGTATCATGCCCCTTAGCTTAGAAAGATGATTATGATTTAGATTTGTAGTGCAAAATAAAGGAACTTCAGGGAGCTCTGGTGGCTTAGTGGCGAGGACCTGTACTATACTCTTAAAGGCATAAGGTTTAAATCCACCAGGTGCTCTTTGGAGAAGGGTGGGCAATCTCTTCCAGAGGGTCAACTGTGGGTCATTTCAGATTCTAGAGTGCACAGTAGCAACAACATAAGTTTAAGAAAATTTCAGCCAAATCCATAAACATTTAACTCACTCAGATATTTATATTCATGCTAAATTTAAGAGGCTATGTAGTTCAAGAACACATTTGGAGTAATTTTAGAAGGTACAGTTCAGTGTACCTTTTATAATTTTGGACTTGATTCTATTCACATATACAATTTTTTTTTTTTAGAATTTTATTAGCAAGAATACATCTTTAATCATCCTGTTGTAATAATTAAGTAGTTTTCAAGCTACATGCAAGTGTGTTATACCTAGAGTGAAAAGTAGTGGCCATATATAAAAGATTTAATATTTTACTTTGCTCTAAATACCTAGAGATCTTGAGTTGCTCACTGGCCTAGTAGGTAAGGAGATTTGCTGCCAACCCACAGGCACTCAGTTTGAATCCACCAACAGCTCCACAGAAGAAAAATTGGCAGTCCTGTATGCAATTTGCAACCCCTGAATGATCAGCTGTGAGTTACTTCCTACTGAGCAGCCTGTAAGAAAAAAGAATAATACCTCCTAGAAAAATCGTGGACAGCAGGTTGGATGCTATCAAAACATAATTCAGTGAATCCTTGAGAGAAGAATAAATGTGAAAGGTGTTTTGTGGTGGTGTTTTTTTTTTTAACAGAAATTTGTATTCTTATTTAGAAAAAATTTTCATTTTTATGAAGGAAACCTTAATTCTAAAAACATTAGCAGTTTGCTCGCTCTGCTAGACCAAAACAAGATTCCAAAGATGGAAAGAGAAAATGTTAAACATTAGTAAAGGTAAGTATTTACATAATAGGATAAAAGGGTAAGACTGTTTATTAAGGTATACTTAAGGGCAGAAGCCTGGTGTGCTAGCATCAGTAGTTCCCAAGATCCTTTTTTTCTCATTCTTTATGCTTCTAATCACTATTTCATTTGGAACCTTAACTACGTTGTAAAAACCATATGTATGTAAAACTCAAATTCAGAGAATAACTTTTCTTTGTCTTCATTTACTTTTTTTGCCTACAGTGAAGTAGTGGTTCTTAACTTGTGTTAGAATCATCTGGTGGACTTGATAAAACACAAGTGCTGGGCTCTACTTCCACAGTTTCTCATGTAGTAGGTCTGCCCTAGGGGTTTAGGGTAACCAACCATCCTTGTTGGCCTGTGACTAAGGCACAAAGGACTTTCAGTGCTACAGCTAGGACAAGTTGGTCACCCTAGATAGACCCTGAGATTTTGCATTACTAATGAAATTACCCCATAATAGTGAGACTTCTTCTGGTCTGTGGACCACACTTGGAGAACTCCTGAGGTAAATGCTTAAAATGATCTTTTTAACTTAAATTAAAAAACTGTGAGTATTGATTATTTGAATACTTCATTAAAAAATGTGTACTTCTTTATAAAATGAAATATTTTGTCTTTAAAACTAATTTCAATGCATTTTTAGTTACTGAGGGTTAAAAATTTTAATGTTAATTAAGCATTTTAAATTCTAAAGCCTGTGGTATAATATTTTAAGTTACATGTTGCATGGAAATATATCCCTTTAATTCCTGTTTTAAATCTCTCTTTGTAAATTAGAAGAACTAATCAAAATTTTTGCTATTTAGCCAAAAAAAATTCATGACTAAAGAGGAAATTTTGCTTAACATTTTATTTCTAGTCCCTCTGAAATGTCTTGAATATTTAGATTGTTATAAAGCATTTATGCTGATATTATCAGAAAGTAACCTAAAGGACAGAATAGAATCAATAATTTAGTGTCTGATTAAAAAATCTTTTATTTGTAAATCTACTGATGAAAAACAAGAAAAATTTAAACTACATTCTGCTGTTCTTCTTTAGAAGAATTCCTGCGTAAATACTGCTGTAATACTGTGTCATGCAAAGTGTATCCTTTCTTGTTGTATCCTTTTGGGGACAGTACTCTTTTGGTTTTTTTCACTAGAAATGTTTTACCGCCTCCTCTAACCATGGATCCAGATTGAGCAATAATTTTTACATTTTGTTCAAATGAAATATTACTAAGATTGAACGAGTCATTTCTTTTTTAGATTTGTTGAATTTTCTATGGTGTCCTTGAAGTTAGCTAATTTTTCCAGAGAAAGTTAGTGAATCAAGTCATCTTATTTACTTTGGAAAATGTATGCATTTACTTAACACTAAATGTAGTCTTGCTTTTTGTGTATTTCCTAAATCTAATAACAATATGCTTTATATTTTATGACATACTTGGTTTAGGTTCTCTACATAGCATGGTGTAAAAGTTACACTGGAGACTTTTTTTTTCTTTTAAAATTTTATATTTTAAAAATTAAATTATCTGATTTCTCTGCAATTCCAAAGAAGAGTTGCTGTCCTCATATCTGAAGTAGTATTGCAATCTCCTTTGAGATAGATAGCAAGTGGAAGTGGTTTTTATTCCTTCCTCCCCTCACCCCCACCATTTTTATTTTATTTTATTTTTTTCTAAAACCAAGAGATGGAATACAAGAGTAACAGAGGGAAGAAGACACTATTTTGACTCAGGGTAGCTCATTAAGTGAAAAGAAAGACTTCTGGTAGGTATATAAGAGCAGTGATTTCCAAACTCCTTGTGGTTAGGTGCCATTGACATGGCTCTGACTTAAAGACCCTGTATAAAACAGAAGGAAACCCTGCACAATCCAACACCATCTCCACAATCTGCTGTGTTTAAGCACATTGTTACAGTCACTCATTCTGTTTCTTTGCAGGCTGATGTCCAAATACAACTAGAACATTGGCTCTCAATCTTGTTTACACAATACTAGTATGGAGACCAGTATTTTTAAAATCAATATTTAAAAATATTGATTGGGTGGTGTTACTGTTAGGTACCATTGAGTCGAGCATGACTCATAGCAACCCTGTGAATAAAGATCCCAACCCTGTTCTATCCTGTGCCATCCTTACACCTCGTGGCACACAAGAGCCCATTGCAGCAGTCACTGTATTAGTCAACCTGGTTGAGGATATTCCTTTCCTTCGCCGACCCTTCACCATTCCCAACATCATGTCTCCTCCAAGGAATAGCATCTCCTAGCAACATATGCAAAGTATGTAAGGCGAAGCCTCATCATTTTTCCCTCCAAAGAGCATTCCAGCTGCATCCTCTCCAAGACATATTCTGTTTGTTCTCTTGGCTGTCCATGGGGTGTTCAGTGTTCTCCAACACCACAGCTCAAAGGGGTCAATTCTTTTTCTGTCATCCTTACTGTCCAGGTCTCAGATGCATAGCCAGTCAGAAAGACTATAGCCTGAACCAAACTCACCTTAGCCCTCAAACTGACATCACTACTCCTCAATATTTCAGAAAGATCCCTAACTGCATATTTTCCCAGTGCCGTATACTTTTTCCTGACTGCTCATATTAAGGGTGTTAATTTTGGATTCATGCAAGGTGATGCTGTTGACAGTTTCAATCTCCTCTCCATCCATCATGAAAAAGCTTATGGTGGAGTTTTAATTAATTGATCTGTCTAACACAGAAAATGGGATGTTTAAAACCTAAAAGTGATTGGGATGTGCACCCAAGATTGAGATAAACCATGGGAGGACTTTTACTCATAAAAATTATTAGAAACTATCTTCACACTTAATAAATCAGAATATCTAGGGGCTTAATGAAAGAATGCAGAGAAAATTACCCCTCATAATTTTAAGAACCGACCAGTTTGAATGTGACTTTATCTTAAAATGATTATGTGCATAATAACCGCCTAACCATCTGCCCTAAAAATAGGAAAATGAGCCTGGGAGCCTCTACTTCTTTCTTGAGATTTCTTTTCTCATTGTTGTTAGGTGCTGTTGAGTCAAGTATAAACCATAGCAAACCTCTGAACAACAAATAAGAACCCTGCCCTATCCTGTGCCATTCTCACACTTCCTTACATATTAGAGCCTGTTTGGCAGTTGCTGTTAGTGCACCTGGTTGAAGGTCTTCCTCTCCTTTGCTTTTGCTGACCCTCTGCCTTTCTGAGCATTGTTCCTTTCCAAGGACTAGCCCCTCCTAGCAATATACCCGAAGTATATGAAGCAAAGTCTTACCATTTTTGCCTCCAAAGAGCACTATAGCTGCACACTCTACAAGATGTATTTGTTTTTCTTGCCATCCATAGGATTGTTCAGTGCTCTTCTCCAACACCACAGATCAAAAGGCATCAATTCTTCTGTCATCCTTATTCCTTGTCCAGCTCTCAGATGCAAATGGTCGGAAAGACCATGGCCTGAATCAGATGCACCTTAGTCCTCTATCATTAGTGCTATGAAAACAATTCTCATAATTTTCACCCTCAAAGTACATAAAAGCAATAGGTACTAGAAGTACAATTGTTTCTCTATGAGGATAAAATGTTTCTTTTTTATGTTGTAAATTAAAATTTTTGTATAAGCTGTTTACATAATTACAATTTTATTGTATTGACATGATTCACTAATTTTCTATATATGAATATTTTAGGTTTTAGTTATTAAGCTGTGAGAATCTTTCTAATAATGATTATTTTTAATGGAATTTTATGATGTTTTAGGTTCCTTTTGGATTCTGTATATTTTATATGCTTTCCGACATTGAGGAGAAGAAATTGGTCATCCGGAATGTGGAACTGTGCGTAACAGCTTTATAAAGTGTATTTAAAAACTAAAGCTATATCAATTTAAATAATTTGATCAGAGGTCTATTACATATGTTTAAATCATTTGTCTCATATATAATAAATTATTTTCCTCCTGTGTAAGTGTTCTTAATTTTATTTTTTTATTATACATGTATAATTTGTTTGTATCTAGTTTAACTTTATAATTATATACATTTTAATTTTGGGTAATGTTTGGTGCCGTCGAGTCGTAGATGGCTCATAGCGAACCTATGAAAGAACAGCCTGAGCACTATTCGGACATAGAGTTTCTGGAGGGAAGCCATTTCGGAAGTGGATGCCACTTCTGCTTCCAGGCTTGATTTAGTCGGGAAGCTCCAGCCAACACTGTCCACTGTGGGTACCCATTACCACAATTGGCACATCACTGTTACAGTCTTCAGCATCACAGCAACCACAAGTTACCTCTGTACAGCAGCACACAGACCAGTGCTATACCACCTCCTTCATACAGGTAATTGGGTAATATACTAAGTATAAATTTTTTATTACAGATATTGCCATTTCTAAGTATATGTTAATGTGCCTGCACATTTTCAAACATTAAGGTAGTGGCCTAGTGGTAAGAAGCACTGCTGCAAATCCAAAGGCACATAGATCAAGTCCACTGCACTATGAGAAAAAGATAGGCAGTCTCCTCCTGTGCAGTTAACTGCTTTTGAAAACCAGCTGGAGGATCAGCTGTTAGTCAGTTCCAACTACAGTACACAACAACAGTGGATTAAAAGTTGCACTACCACCCAACAGGAGCATTCTATTACTTGCTCCAAAACAGGCCTCGAAAACCCACAGTAGGGTAAGCTAAGAGTCAGTTCCAACAGTATGACAGTTAGCAACACTAATTTTATTTGTCTCAAATTTGGGGGTTTGTTATGAGACATTTTTTTTTGCACAGACTTATTCAACTCAGAGTTGAAAATGTTTCCCCATACAAAATTATTCTAAATGAAATTAATTTCAGCTATGTATAACTAGAAAAATTTCAGTATTTTTTTACTTAACCTTCCATGAGTATGTGGTAACAGTTAAACATGATAGAATAAAATATTCAGATAATCAGAATAATTGAGATTTTTTTTCCAAACTTTCCAAAAGTGATTCTAATATATAATCTT